CCAGATTTATTGCTGAATGCTGCTCTCCAGGCAGATAAGGTGGCAGGGTTACTGGGAGCCTCTCAAGGCAGGTGTGAAACAGGTGGTCACAGTGCTGCTACAGTGAGATGGCACCAGGAAAACACCTCCAAGGAGATTCCCTGTGAGAAGTAATGAACCACAACCTGCAGCAAAATTCCTTCTTCACAAAGGATCTGAGTCCATGGATCCCAGCTGGGACAAGAGATGTGAAGAAGGAGGTCTAAGGTGGTGAAGCAGCAGAAAGGAACTCACAGAGCTGTACCCCTGGGCAGGACCAGCCTGATGCTTTGTGCAAGGATAAGGCAGTGCTGATGAAGTATGTGCTGGGGTAGGAGGTGGGCAAGGGATGTATAAAAGCCCACTTAGACATAGAATCAGTCTGCAGGGAAGGAAGCAAAGCTGAGCAAAGAGTTGGGATAGCTCGGCCCCTCTGGAGCAGAAAGGCTCCAGTGATGGCAGAGAGCAGCCGGGCGAGACAAAAAACAAGAGCAGCCAAGGAAATTTTGAGCCCAGGCCAAATTATTAGCTTAAGTCATTAGCTGTGCAGAGCATGTCCCAGGGCTGTGCCAGCAGCAGAGTGCTCTGGGCTGTGATGCCAGGTGGAGCTCCAGCAAGGCTCACCTGCACACAGGCACATCAGCTCCATCCCTCCATCCCAGGTCTTGGCCCAGCAGCAGCAGTGGGCAGAGCTGCAGCAGCCAAGTGCTGCCAAGGGCTGCTTCTGTGGCTGCACGGGTGTGAGAGAGGCTTTGGATTCCAAGCAAAGCTTCGAGGTGTTTTTTGGTGTTCTCTCCACCAACACTGCTCTCCTGAGGCCTGTTATGGTCTCGAGAGCAGAGAGGATGTGGGAAAGTGGCTGGTGGCCAAGAGGGACTCTCACCTTTCCCGTTCCAAGGTATTTCCCAGTCCTGGCCATCCCCTGGCATTCATGCTATCCTAGAGGGCACAGCCCAGGGCTTCCTTTCAGCCCTTTTGTTGGCTACGTGTAACTCCCAAGTGTCCTTCTTTCCCCACCTTCTCTTTTGCTGTCTGAAGACCCTTGGCTTTGGCGTATCCCATGCTGTTATTCCTCCTTCCATTTCCCCAGTACCCAAGGTCCCTCTGCTTGTGTCCCATCCTTATCTCCCCATTGCAGACCTGCTCCTTGGCTGTGGAAAGCATCTGCTCTGCTCTGAGGATGTCCTGTGCTGGGGCCAACGTGAGTCCTGCTCCAGAGCTGCAAGAAACCAAGAACTTCACAGTCTCCCCTGCCTGTTGTCAAAGAGCCCCCAAGGGTTTGTTCTGTCCCATTTTCTTGTAGATCTGTCCACAAGTGCACGGGGTGTACAGCCTCACTGGGCATCCTTCTCTGCCAAGCCATGCAGGATGTGCCAAGGAAATTGCTGACTGGCTGCTTTTTGTACAGGTCTTTGAACTGTCCCCAGACATCCCCTCTGAAATCCCTTTTCAGGAAGGAGCTGCAGAGGGGACAGGCAGAATGATGGCAGGGAGTCAGGGATGGGGTACCCCACCTGGCCACTGCCATCTCCATGCTATTTGCAGGAAGCACCTGGCTGGGCATCTGCAGCCCAAAGGTGATGCTGAGGGACACGTGTGCTGCAGGGATTTTGGGAGATATTTGCTTGCCTAGGAGTGTAGAGCAAGACACAGCTGAAGGTTTTTTCGATCTGCTGCTCATCATTCATGGTGACCACAACACCAGTGACACTGAAAACAGTGAGTATTAGAGGCAGAGCAGGAATTGGAACCTTTTGAGTTCTTCTGGACCAGATCCTCAGATTCATCTTTGCTACTTCTGGGCGAAGCTGTGACTTGCTAGCTTTGCCCCCTTATCTCCATCTAATCAGATTGGCTGTGTTCACTCAGCTAGAGGAGATCCAGTGGGGCCCTGAGCCCCATGGCTGCTGTGGCCTCAGTCCTTGTGCTGCACCAGCACTGGGAATGTGCTGGGAGCTGTGTGAGGCTGCCACGAGCTGGGTGTTGCAAGCGGAATTGAAGCAGCTGCAGTTCTTTCCCAGTATTTCCCAATGAAATGAACGCAGCCAGCCCAGATCCCACCCCCAGGGACTGGCAGTAGCCGGAATTTGCTGAAATTCCCCCTTTGCCCTTTCCAGCTCTGCAGCTCAGAGGTGGAAGGCAGACCACTACCAGACAGCCTGGGGAATAGGTCTCCTGGCAGCTCCCGTGGCTACCAGGTCTCCAGGAAGGCAGCAGCATGGTCAGTGCTCCCTGGGGAGAGCCCAGGGGTGAAGGTGATGCCTACATGGTCAGTTTACATTTCAATGGGTTGGATTTCCCACAGGGATCATTAGTCCCTCCTGATTTCCACTTAAATTGACAACTGAATTATCGAGGTTTCGACAGGAATGAGTTATCATGGATGCTTCATGCTGCATCCTGTGGCGTCCTTGGGGCTGGAGCTCCAGTGCTCCCTAATTGCTCAGGAAGAGGCTTAAATGAGTCAGTGTGAGCAATGCTCTTTCCTCATCCCCACCAAGTCCCCTGCCTGTTTGTGCCTCTGGGGAGCCTGAACCCTGAAGATTCCTGTCTCCCCCCCTCTGCATTGCCTCTTCTGGCCCCTGAGGCTCAGTCCCGCCAGGGGGATGGGTGACCTTCCTCCTGCCACAGGGATGCACTTCAGAGATGACCACACTTTTCTTAGAAATCTTACTGACCCCGAGTAAGAGGGGGGGAAACCCACCACATTCCCCTTTCACAATGCAAGTGGAAAGCCCCTTTCCTCACTCTGGTGTTCTTCCTGGGGAGCAGAGGCGTGTGAAGCTGCTGTGCTTTGACCCACTAGGCACCCTGACAACTGTCATGAGGAAGAGCAAACTCCCTTTCCTACCCATGCTGTTGGCAGGGGCAGCTCAGGGCATGGGGCTCCCCTGCAGACAGAGGTAGTAAGAGGTTTAGTCCCACATGGATATATTCCCAGCTCAGCCTGCTCCTTTTGGTGTAGAGCCAGTTGGGAGCCAGCAGGAGGTGGGAGAACCTTGTGCCAGGGAAGTGGTGGCTGGGGACACCCCTGCTTGCCATGGGGTGCAGGACCCAGCAGTGCCTGGAGGAGAGTCACACAACTCAGGAGTCCCAGCACCCCCCACCCAGAACATTCAAGGAAAAAAGGGTTTGCTGCTGGGCAGCCCCCCCAGCACCCCCACCCCCCCAGTGTGTCAGGGTGCTGCTCTTGGGACCCACTCTTTGCAGGGAGCTCCACACTGTGAGACCAAGCCCCAGCAAGGAGCTGGCTCTCGGCTGGGAGCAGTTCTGGCCACCAGCTACCAGGAGCTGTCATCCTCCCCGCTGTGACATCTCTCTGACAGTGTTCTGAGGAGATTAAGCAGAGACCAGGTTGCAGAACCAGCCTACATCCCCAAACCTGCAGGGAGCCCAGGGCTGATGATGCTAATCCTTCACCACCTAAACTCAACTTCTGCTGGTTTGGGAGTGTCAGCAGGTGCTGACTGAAGTTAAGCTGACACATCCTGTTTGTGCTACTCCTGCTGGGGCACAGGAGCAGCCAGAGGCAATGCTTTCCTGATGGAGGAGATCACCCCACACATGAGGCCAGTGCCAGTGCAGGGATGCGGCACCATGTCTGGTGGCATGGCTGGAGTCTCCTCTTGCTTCTTAGCATGGGGTGGGTAAGGGGCAGAGCCTCTCCTACTGTTGAGAGGAGCGTGAGGGACTCACTGAGGTGCCTGGGTCCCAGTTGTGTGCCTTGTGCCCAGTTGGAAGGGGCTCTGTACACTGCTCTCCACTTAGGTTCAAGGACAGTCCAAAGCGGGAGCAAGGGTAAAAGTGCAAGCACAGAGATTCTGCTGCAGGGTTTGCTCACCCTTGCTGCAAAATAATTTTCTTTTTGTCAGTGGGAATTTATCTAGGTGCATCTGGTGCCTTTACTTTTGTCCTGTCCCTGGGCCCCTCAGAAAAAACCCTGCCTCTGGCGTCTCCAACTCCCTGCAAGGCAGATGCTGACAGCACTGAGCTTTCCGTCGTCCTTCCCCTTGGGCTGCACAGCCCTGGTGATCCCTGCTTCCCACAGGGGACTGAAGCAGCCTGGTTTAAGGGACATCACTGCAGGTGGCACTGGCACTGGCACGGTGGTGAGTCACCATACCAAGGAGAAGCAGCCCCCGTCCCTGTGCTCCTGTGAAGATTCAAAGCGGGAGCGCTGGTCCTCGCTCTCGGCAGTGCCCACGCAGCGGGTGAGATGCTGGCACCCTGCGCCGTGCACACAGCCTCTGTGGGGGATTTCTGCTCTTGCATGGAGAAAACCTGTTTACAGGAAGCTCTGTAGCTGCCTTTGGCCAAGAACCCATTTTCTAGGACACCTGGAAATCAGGTTGCCTTTTGGCCTGTGACATCGTGGTCCTGGAGTGGAGTGCACTGACTGGGTTCTCCTCTCTCTGCCAGCTTTGGAAGTGCCCCCATGCAGACACTGGGGAGGGCAGGGGGGGAAAGCCAGGCTTCAGCAACCAGCCAGGGAGGCTCTGTGGGGGAGACAGACATCACCCCAGTACCAACATATACCCCAAAACTGAGGATGAGGCAAGTTCTACCTCCCACAGCATCAGAGGATAGAGACTATGTGATATTTATTGTGAATGTCCCAGAGATGTCTCAGAGAAGAGGCTTGGAAATGTGTGGGGTGAGAGCCCCCCAAGTGCTATCCCAGGGCTCTGGGGTGCTTTCACAAGGTAAAAGGACCCTGGAGCTGCCTGGTCCTTCCCAGCAACATCTATGGCCTGAGTGCTGGCAGAGAAGGCAAGGGAGTTTTTGGCTATAGGATTCCAGAACAGCTGGCTGCAGGGAAAAGCATCTGCTGGGATATTCGGGAATTGCACAAAGATTAAATCCAGGCTATTGTAATTCCTTTTACAATGTCCCAGCCTTCAAAGAAAGTGAAAGTCATGAAGGGTATAAAAGCAGTGAGGAGCAGCAGCAGCAGGGCCCAGGAAAGCTGTGCGGAGCTCACCTCTCCTGCCTGGAGCTCCACTGCCTCCAGCCCATCCCCTGACAGACTCAGCAGCAAAATGCAGCAGCTGCATCTTCTCTGCTTCAGTCTCCTGTTGCTAGGACATGTCCTGGATGGTAAGATGGGACCTCTCAAGCTGCCTTTCCTGGGGAAATTAGAGGATTCTGTTTCTTCTCTTTTTTGCATTTCCAGCAGACTTTTAGAGGGACACATGATTGCCGCTTCCTCTCGGCCCTCCTGCGTCCTTTTCTTGTAACCTGTTCACAGGGACTTTGTCCTGCCCAAAGTTCAGACAGGAACCTACAGGGCTCTGGGGCTGGGAAGGTGTGTTTGGGAAAGGGCCATGGTGCAACCCTGCCTCCCCTTTTGGGAAAGGGCCATGGTGCAATCCTGCCTCCCAGTGCCCTAGCCCAGCTTGCACGCATTGGGCTGGGATTGTCTTGGTCCCATTCTCCCCAGTACAGGACAGAGGTGACAGTCCTGTCACCCTGTGGTGTAGGACAGCCTGGGGGCGGGTGGCAGGGCTGGGAGCAAGAGGGAGGGTGTCTATTAGGGCAGGGCTGATGCTTGAGAGGCTGCTGGTGCTTGATGTGGCATTTGCACAGGTCACAGCTGTCTGGGTGGGTGACATCAGAACCTCTACATGTGGTGGGGAACTGGGGGGTCCAGATATTCTGTGTTGTTGCATCACACCTTGCTGCTGAGGGTACAGACATCCATGGGTGCTGCCAGCCTTGTCAGGTGCTAGCAGTGAGTACAGGATTTGCTGGGAGGGTGACTCTGGATCTCCTTCCCTGCAGAGAAGCACTGTCAGCTATGTCCTTCAGCTGTCACAGGGATGATCCGTGTGGGGTGGGCTGGTGGTGGGGTAGCTGCCAAAGCTGTGATTGCTTCAGTAAATAAATCTGAAATCATCCCCAGGCCCTCAGAAATGCGTGTCTGTATTGCAGCACCCTGAAGCAGGGTAAGTAAGAACCCCTGTGTCCTGCCTTGCTAGCTGGGATGCAGGTGCGTTGCCTCCTGCCTGTTTACTCTTCCCCATCTCCTTTGATTTCCATGGGAAGGAGGCAAAGGGCTCTCAGCACTGGGGTGTGAGCGCAATAAAGCACCCAACAAAGCTGTCTGTGTGCCTGGGCAGGGCGGTGTGTGAGAGCATTCCTGCAGGCACCATCCTGCACAGCCCTGTCACTCCTCTGGGAGAGGTGAGAGGTGAGCTGGGCTCACCTGCTTGCTTTGTTCCTCCTCCAGTGCATGGCGGCAACAACGTCCTGGACTGCTGCCTGCGTACGAGCGAGGCGCCCATCCCACGGCGGATCGTCAGGGATTACTGGCTCCAGCTGGTGCAGGACGGCTGCGACATCCCTGCTGCTGTGTAAGAGCCCAGGGGCTGCTGGCTGAGGCACCCGTGATGGACGGAGACAGCGTGGAAAGCAGAGCAGGATGGCAGAGGGATGTTGAGTGGGATTTGAGGGTGAAGGAATAGGGAGAGCTGCAGAAGAGATCCTGGAGATCCAGAGGCTCAGTGAGAGGGGAGAGCATGGGACAAAAACCAAGGAAGAAAGTTATCTACAGGCAGAGATGGGGAGGACACTGAGGTGGGGAGTGGGTGAGAGCTTGTGCTGCTCTTGGGCATTGATGGAGGGCCTGTCACTGCATCTTGGTTTTTTTCCCTCATGGACCTGGCAGATTCATCACCACAAAGGGCAAGCGGCTCTGTGCACCCCTCCATTCCCCATGGGTGATTCGTCTCCAGGAGAGGTTGGATGCCAGCTCTGCCAAGAGGGTAAGAACATCCCTGTTCTCAGCCCAGGGGGTGGGTTTATCCACTGCCAGACAGGATTTTGCCATTGTGACTGGGCTGCTGGAAAGACAAATTATCCAAGGCATGGATAATTTGTCTGGGTCTCCATCCCTCCTGCCTCCAACTGGGACTAATCTGCCTCCTTGGTAGTCCCTCTTTCACCCCAAATAAATGCAGCCCTGGGATTTTTGTCTACCCAGTGTTACTCTTGCCTGAGGCTGGTGTGTGCCATGGCAAATGACACTGGGAGCAAAATCCCTTCTCACTTCTGCTCTGTAAGCTTGGAGTCTGCTGCTTGTGCATCTTCATGAAGAGGGCTTATCATGAGCTTGGTGGTGCTTTACAAGCCCTGACAGGTCCATCACTACCATGGCTTGTCCAGCAGGGGAAGGGACCCTGGGGAAGCTCATAGCCCAAGGAGCACACCAGTATCAGTTGGGTTTTTCATTTTCCCAGGGCAAACCACAGGGCAAGTAGGTCCTGAAGAAGCCATGGCTGGTCCCAACAGCTGGAGGGGACCATCTCCCAGCTGTGAATCTGATGGTAACAGAGCCAACCTGCTTCCACCTCCAACCTCAGGGCAGACCCTCCCTGAGACTCATGCCAGTGTGTGGGATGGGGCCCACAGACAGATAGAGCCCTGTCTGTCCTGTCCTTTTCCCTTTGCTTCCAATGTGACCCAGCAGCCTGTGTCAGACTGAGCCAGGGGCTGCTGAACTCCATCACCTTTGCAGCCTGGAAGCTGTTTGATGGTCTGGTCTGTGAGTCGAGCTGGGGACTCTCAGACTTCCCATCAGCACAGCAGTTGTGACCTCCTGCTATAGTCTGATCCCTTTGGCCAGCCCCAGCCCAGAGTCCTCTTGCATCCCTGGGAAGGGCTGCCAGCACAGAACAGTGTGGGGCTGGAGGAGACTGATGGAGAAGGGCCACACATTGTACTGGTCCTTGCCAAGCACAACTCAGATGCCCTCAGAAAACGTGTAGCTGATGTGGTTCCTCTCTCTCTCCTGAATTGCCTGCACTTTTTCCCTCCTGCCCTTTCTTGCAAGGGTAGAAATAGAGCCATTAATGTGGAGCAGGCAGAGATGTGGCTCTTAGCCCTGCTCTCCTTGGGGATATTGCACTCTTTCCAGATCCTCAGCCTGACACCAGTGTCCAGCCCTGCCCCATGCCCACACCTGGAGGTCGTGCTGCTCTCAGGTTATTTGCTGCTAGATCTGTTCATTGCAACAATTCCATGTGTATGCCTCTTTACTCTCTCTTTTTTAAATTGTGCTGTGATTTTGTTAAATAAAAAGAAAAGCCAGCAGGTAGTTGTTGTGCCTCATGTTTGAGCCTGAAAGCCACTGTGGAGTGTGTGGTGAGCAGGCAGCACTGCCTGCTGCAGTGCCAGGGGGGCAGTGCTGGGGTGTGGGGAGGAGGCAGGAGGGTTCATGGGGATGAGGGACACAACAGATGGGCTGCAGGTCTCTCCTGGGAAAACCATGGAAAACAGGCGCTCTGCTCTGCGCTGCTCAGCCAGGCTGTGGGTGTGCAGGGATGGGGTAGGAGGGAGTGTGCCAGTGTTGCACCATCCGGTCCCAAACACTTCAGTCCTGCCAGTGCAGATGCTGGGTTGGAGCTCCCTAGCTCTCAGCTTCCACAGAGGCAGAGGACATGGAGGAAGTGCTGCAGGAATGGGAGGTTTGTCCTTGCAGTAAAAGGAAACTGAGGCACAGTGTGGTTGATTCCTCTGGCGGGTCAGTACTTGCTGGCGGCTGGGGTGCAAATGAGTTCGAGGATAAGCTTTTGGGGCAAAGGAAGTTCCTGAACACACCTTTTCCTGGGCACACCCATGCATAAGGCACAGATGGCAGCTCCCCAGCTCCTGCCACTCATCAACAGCAAGCTGAGAGTCTGTGGCCCTTTTCCTCCTGAGCCCCAGATCTCCTGTGCACTCTGAATAAGGTCTTGCTGTCTCAAAGTGTCCTTTTGTGCCCTTTTGCCCAGGCCAGTCTGAACAGAGCTGTTCTGTCCAGCTGAAGCTCTGTGTGTCCAACAGGCAGGCACCATCCTCTCCTCCCAAGCACTGCTGTGACTGCCTGCATCATCCAGTTAGCCAGGTTTGGTGCTAGCCAGCATGCCTGGGCACAGGTTGGGAATGAAATGGCCCAGGACTGGTCCTGAGGGTGAGGGGAACAGCCCTCAGGGGATGGCATCAGTGGCTCGGCTGTCCAAGCACAACCTGATGGCTCTGTGCTGACATCTCTTGAACCCAGGCTTAACCCTGTCCCTTCTTCTCCCCTGGTCACCTGCCTCACTCAGTGGTGCCTGGTTTCTCTTACAGCTGTTCTCCCCTCCGGGGTGCCCCTCCCTGGTATGTGCACACACAATGCTCGGGCTCAGATGTCTCTGAGTGTGACTCTCAGGGAGCACCAGCTCTGTCCCAGACCATTAACCACAGTGACAGCCCCAGCAATTCAATCCTGGGCAGAAGGAGGAAGAGAAGGAAGGCTGGTATGGGAAGAGGGGCCAAGATAAACAGTGTGAGTGGGAAATGAGGATAACTGGTGCTGGCTTGGACAGAAGCCTTCCTGCTGCTCGCTCAGTGACCTGTGAGGGGGCCGTGGCTGGGGAGGGGGAGGATGCTTGGCATGGATCTGCTCTGAGGCTGAGCTGCTGCAGCTGGAGCAGGTCCCTGCAAAGGGCAGGGACTGCCAGAGGGGCTCAGCCTGGAGTGGATTAAATTCATCCTTGGCTGCAAGCTATCAGGACAAGGAGAACAGTGTCCTGGACCAGGGAAAATGAGGGAGAAGGGGCTTACACTGATCTCTTGGGTGTTGGAAGCAGGTGAATCCATTTCCATGAGAGTTTCAGGGATATCTTAGCCAAGCAGCCCTTAAGAGCATGGTTGCAGAGCCCAGGGTTCTCATCTCTCCTGGGAGCAGTGAGTGTGTTCTCCTCAGAGCAGTGCAGCTGCACACCACAGATCCCTGCTAGCTCCTAGCCTGCTGTGATTCTCAGGTGGATGGTATCCTCATCCCAGCTCTGGCTGCAGGCTGCTTGCTCTTAGCCCCCCGTCCAGGGAGGACAGGAAGAGATGCTGGCCTGGACCAGGTAAGAGTTCCTGGCTCCTGTCCCTTCTCCAGTACTGCAGCAGCCTCTCCATCCACGCCAGAGCCCAACTCCTCTTGGAAATCTGTCAAAAACCAGATTGGTTCAGTGCTTAGTAAACTAGGGAGTGAGTTTCTCTGATTCAAAATGTCAATGATCTCTTTAGAAGGAAGCAGCCACTTTCCTCAGGGAAAGTAGCTAGTCACTGCTGTGTCAAAAACCTTGGTTCCCAGCCCAAAGCTAGTTTCAGTAAAAAAGTCCTCCTGCTTTTCTCTCCCCATGTTTTCCTCACTCTTTTCCTAACCTCACTGCATCCTCGGGGCAGAACCCATTGCAGTACGATGCAGACATACCCTCAGCAGCTCAGGAGTCACATGCAGGGATCCCTCTGGCTCTGGAGCATTGGCTGAATCCCCTGTAGCCCTTTATTCAAGCCTGGGGACCTGTATTTCACACGTTGTGGAGCAACAAGGTGCTGCAGCTGCAAAGCTTTCACAAGGAGCTGACAGAACGGCCGCTCTCCTGTGCACAAGGCAGGAGACAGGACAAGGCTGCATCCATGCAAGCAAACTGAGCAGGCACTGGGTCTCTCCCTGGCTGCCAGCACTCACAGCTGGGATCATGAGGGCACTCGTGTGTCTGTCTGGCATGGTGAAAGCAGCCTTGGATGATGCCCAGGCTGAGTGCAAGGGGCACCAGACACAGCAGGCGCAATCTGCTGTGGTCTCAAGGTCTGGCCTGGCACAGACATACCCAGCTGGGAGGAAGGATTGAAGGCTCCATGGCAGGAAACACCCATTTGCTTCTCTGCTAGCAGGGCACCAAGGGAAATGCTATGCGTGTCTCCCTTGGTGCCATAATACCCTTTCCAGGAAGGGTATTTACTGGAGATGGTTTTGTCCCTTGCCTCCATAGTGAGGGTGTACAGGGGCTTTTCCTGTCACCAGCATCGCCCATGTGCTGCACATGCTGCTCCTGGAGTGACTGGGGAGGGACCAGCTGCATCCTCCCCACATGGACCTGCAGGCAAGGTGAGCAGCACCACGGGGCCAAAAGCTGTTCCCCCTCCCACAGCCTTCACACAGCTTCCTCACCTGACTCGCTGGTGCACGAGAGTCAACAGGAGGTGTGGACATGCCCTGGGTTCCCTGTCCTGGTGGTTTCCACACCACAGTGCCAAGGCAAGGGGCTGCTCTTCCTTGGCTCAGGTGCCAGATCTAGCTGGCAGGGGCTCAGGGACCTGTCTGGGTTTATATGAGGAGATGGGATGTGTGGATGGCTGGGAAGGGTGGGAAGCTAGGTGAGGAAAAGCCCCTTTAGTCTTGTTCCATTGTGCTGTTTGTTCTTGCCTAAACAACGTGTGTGGATGATGGAGAGGATCCAGAACTGGCATCCCTTATCCTCAGGCCCCTGCTTGCTCCCCCCTCATTTCCAGCCTGTCATCACCACTGCTGCTTGTCTGGACACTTCCTGCTGAGATTTGTCCTGTGGGAAGATGCCAGCACTCTTAGCCAGGTTGCATGGTTCCCACAAGGAGCTGGTGCCATTCCTGCCATGCTCCTCCTGCAGCTGAACTCTCCCTGGTGGCAATGCCCAGCCTGCACATCCAAGGTCTAGAGCATGAGACCAGGATTGTTTGCCCTGCCCTGAGCTCCTGGAGTCAAATTGAGCCCAGAAGCTGTCTTTTATGGACACCCTTGTGCCTGGACAGGACTTGACTCAGCTTTGTGTTTCTAGAAGCAGCAGAAACTGCAGCTCATTGCAGTGGGGGTTGAGCCACAAGACAGGCACAGCTCTGCCCAGGGCTCCCTTTGGAAAGGGAGGGAAACCCCTCCTGCCTGCCCTCAGATGCACCTATCTAATTCAGATGCACAGAAGCACTAAAAACTGGACATAAAGACAAAACCAAAAGGGCAAGTGATGAGAAGACTTACCCTGCTGAGAGAATGCTCTGGAAAATACCTGTTACCCATTCCTCCTGAACAAGCAGTGAGAGCAGGCTTAGTGCCATTTCTGTGGCCCTCTGCACCTCTCCCTCCTGTTTTCCTGCTTGCTGTGCCTCCAGGTAAGGCTTTTTTCTGCTCTCCAACTGTGTACCCAGCCACAGAAGGCTGGTGGAAACCTATCCTCTCTTCTTTCCTCAGTTGCTCTGCACTCACAGCAGGACGGTCTGGATACAGGGCAAAAAGAACTGAGACTGTGGTGAGGGGTCACCACCAGCTCAGATTGCAGGGATGGGGCTCGGAGGGGGCTGGCAAAGATCTGGTTAGCTCTGCTTGAGATGAAAGGGACAGCCATGGGGCAAGCAAAGAAGAGAAGGTTTTGGATGTTCTCATGAATTTGTGAAACTGGTGTGCAGCCTGAGGCTGGCTGGGATGCATTACACCCACAAGCATGAGAAAGCTTTCCTAGTCCATGGTGAAAAGGGAAAGCCAGCAGATTAAGTAAGACACATCCAGGGGCTCTTCCTGCAATCTTTCTTTAGATCTAACAAGCACAAACCTTTAATCTTGGTGTCTCACTCTGTCTGCTTGGCCTTGTGCTGCCCAGTTTGTGCCCAATTTCCTTGGATCCTTCTGCCCTAGTTGTATTTTACTGGTATTTTGGCTATTCTGTGTCTGTCCAGCTATGCTGTGTCAATGCAGATTTGCAAGGTGTGGTATTTCACAAGCTTCCTGGCTTGGGAAGTTCACCTGCTGCAGCCTTTAGTTGTTTCTTGCTCCAAACATATCTCATTCTTCCCCACTTTCCCACAGAAAGCAACATTTTCTCTCTTGCAGATGTTATGGCTGGGAAAGCCCCTTCTCTGCTGAGATGTTCACTGCAAGCCCACAACTCTGTTTACATGGACGCTCCTTAATCCTGTTTAAATTTTCAAGCTGTGACTTTCTGTTTTCTGTGGGAGGGACAATTCTCCAGAAATGTGAGCTGCTGAGGTGGTCTTTGGTAAATAAATCAAATGCTTTCCTTGAAAGTACCTGCAATATCTAGTTTCCCACCTTTTTATTTAGCTGACACAGCTTTTGGAAAGGCACCACT